GCAGCAACTTTATTGCTATATTTTCTGTTGCAAATAATGCTTAGATTCTTCAATATATTTATATATGACGCTTAATAAATCATTAAAATTGAGAAATAAAAGAATGCAAAGCAATAAAACTGTAGTAATAAAAAAGATCATTTTGTCTATGGATTATTGTATAAATTACCGTATATTATCAACTTACATTGTAGAATTACTAATAGAAACAGCCTTCAATTGGTATATAATTATATAAATACAGATGCAATGTAATTACTATTTAGCTATACTTGCTTCTTAAGCATTTGCTACTTTTATTGTACAACTACATGCGTTTAAATAGATTTCTATGGTGAATTTCAATGTTAACTGAAGTGAATTCATATTTTACAATTTACTAGATTAATATATATATACAATTACTAAATAGACATGTAAATATTCTGAGACGTACATAGCTACGGGCTATTCGGCATTGAAATGCTTATTCTCCGACCATAGACGGTTTAATTGTTAGAGCTTAGCATATCTATTAATCGACAGTAAATTCATTCGCAATAGTTTAGATTTCATATCGTAATTTTACTACTGTAGTATCAAATAGAAGCCCTGTAAAATTAGACTTAAAAAATAGCGTAGGACTTTCTTTGCATTATTCAAAAGTATTCATTATTCATGAACCAATTATTTTTTAATTCTTAATGCAGTGCCATGTCACATATATAGTCTATTTCTTGCCTATGTTGCTAAATACAACCGCCTACACATATTTAAATGCAGAAATAATTTTGCGCAACGTTTTCAATGAATATTTGAAAATATTTCTACATGCGATAATTATTGTATCAATTGAAGGGACACTTTGGCAATATCAGGATACAATTGAAAGCTTTAATTTTTGCGGGATTATCTCATCAAAATCATCGAAGATAATGTGCAAACCTAAAATCTTAAATCCATATTTGTTTCCAATAAATTTAATGCTTATGCTGTCGATAAAGACTTTCTTTCTTAACGAAAACTACGTATTGACAAATATTTCCTGTCAAACGGCTACGAAATACTATTCACTCATAATTACCTTATAGCAGTTATTCATGACTTTTGTTATGACATTTTATGGTAAGGGTATTTAATGGTAGAATAGATGAATCATAAATAATTTGCAAAATCATTCCTAGGGAATGGTTTCCTGCTAGTGAATTTTCGGCGCTTGTATAATTTTCGATCCTGTGTGCTACTTAAGCTTTTTTTAAGTTGAAGAATTAAATTTGCGATAGCTCCGTCCTGATACAGTACTGTAATAAATATCCGATAAATGAACGATTTCATATATATTCATAAAGGTACGCGCTAAATTCTGATTAAAACGCTATTTGTACATGAATACAGAATAAATATTGGACTGTAATATATTAAGGATTTAAAATACTAGAAAAAGTCGATCTTAATTATATATATAACATATATAGATTAATGGAATAAATTCTCATCTCATTGTTCAGTTCAAAGGAAAAAGAATTTGGAGCTGAAAGGTCTTATAACTTGGCCGAAAGAAAGCCAAAATTGATTTGGATAGAATAGAGATTTCACGTATGAATTTTATAGCCGTATAGGTGGCAAAGTATAACAAGGCTCCCGTAGAAATTACCAAAGCTAGAAATTGTAGAGAATATCTGTACCTTTTTACTTAACAACAAAGACCTTTAGGGGTAGAATTAACGATAACTATCCGTCTCATCTAGCCACTTCTTCGCGGTATTTTGCGATGGAAACGATAAGTGGAGGACTAGTGGACTAGTTAGACTCCGACAACAATAGATCGTAGCATGATCTACTAAAAAAATTTCAAGTACGGTCTTAAGGTTTAGACTAAAATCAAATCAAAACTATCGCAATTTTACGAATTATGCCATATTTACAATTTACATATGGGTGTCAATGTTGTTGAAGACCATAATATTATTTACTAACCATATGTTAGAATAATCTTAGCAATAGCAATATCAAAGTAATAGTTATTATGTATAAAAGGTAAATTATGTATTTCTTAAAATTGCTGTAGTATAATAGAATCTGTATAAGAGCGCTTACTGTATCTCTTTTATTGATGCTATCTTAAACGAATTATTAATTTTATTTCCTAATACTACAGATAGATGCATGTTTTCGTGTTTTAAGTTGTAAAGTCGCAAGATATCGAAGGTATTTCTAAGTATATTGCTTCAATTCATGGCTTTAACATTGACATAGAAATAATTTTTAGGTGATTAAAGGATATCAGCAACCCTATCGCAGAAGATAGGTGTTAAAGATTAGAGCCAAAGTTTTTCGTACCTTAATCTAGTAAGTGCCCTATTTTAAGGATACGCTATTGCTACCCTCGTAGAATTAAATTCTGATATGCAAATCGATCAATCGTTCTCAAAATAAGGTTTTGGCGGACTTATTCTCACTCATCTACTTCGACCACTACATTAGCTTAAAATCACAATTGCAACTGTATTGGCGAGATGTGATTATGTTGCTGAAAGAGTTATTCTCTAACTAATAGTATAAAACTAAAGAACTTTGCGGTAATAACTTAGATGACCTGATTGCAGTTAGATAGTCTTTAGCAGCTGTAAAACGAACCTACTTTATGTAATAAAATGAAACTTACGAGTATGTGTAACGTAACTATTTTCAGGATTATAGATTATTGTTCAAGCTTAGTATGATGTACGGTAGCGTGAATTTCTATATTTATCTTAAGACATATTTCATAGCTTATGACCACAGGCTATAGTGGAAAATTCTATGCTAGTGTATAGATTACAATATGCAGCAGGGTGTCGAATTGCTATTTAGGTTAGAGGTAAGAATAGAGCTGTAAATCATATATTAGGATATGGTTACTTCACCTTACTCCGACTGGTAGAACTAATATCTACGTGAATACTGTAGTAGTTTCCATATTGGATTAATGATGGTCCGCTGTAAAACGTTGTTGGTAATAATAATCTGAATATGTGTAAAATACGGTAGGATGTTGCTATGCTAATTGTAACTGTGAATGCTACGAAAAGTATATTTGCTGGCATTTAAGATTATTCCAGAAGTCCTTTCTAGAAGTCTTTAGTAGTTGTGTTGGGCCGGGCTAGAGCTTTACATACATTATCTTTGTATAAGATATAGTAAAGTTTCAATTTCTTTAAATTTTGGATTTTCGTGATCGGTTATATCAAAATATAGTTATCGTTTTTTATTTTTAAGACACATCATCAAATTGGTATCGAAGTAAGACACTGAAATGTTATTATGGAGAGAAAATGTAATAGTTTAATACTAGCTATAAACCACGAACAGTACGTCATAACTTGTGACAAATTTAAAGATAGTAATTAATTTTCGTCCTCCTCACAGGTAAGGGAGACCCAGGTAGATATGCCATACTTTATACTGTAAGCCCTATATGGTCACGTGCAATCCAATAAAAATTTATATAAGGCCTATGAGTCCTTCATTACGATAAAATATAACGAACCGGAAGTAAAAATTATCTATTAAAGATTAATTGAACAAAATTAATCTTATTAATACACTAATCATTATATCATGGTGTTTTTGAAAATGGGTCTGTATAATGATCAATGTTGTGGTTGGATGGATAAATCATATAATTTAATATCAAGCTGTAAAATGTTAGAACCATATGTTAAATTCTAAACTTCTGAAAAGATAGTAAACTTTTCTTGTTAGTTAATAATACAGCTCTATGCTCATTGATCTACAATACAGGAATATTACTTGCTTATTATTATAATTGAGAGTATTAAGAAGAAAATATAAAAATCGGCATACAAAATATTAATATCTACCTACGTTACGGAATTGCCGTGAAGATAATATAATGCATATCAGTAACGATTAATAAATTTTGGTAAGTCATAGACCCAACCATTTCTATTACTAAAGTCAGCTGAAAGCAACTGCGGCAAAAATAAACTGCTCGAATGGCTTAAATACTTTCATGTCAGGTTGTCATAGAACAAATACTGATAGGTGCTAGTATGAAAGAGAAAGTAAACTGAATGAGATTGCCGCTAAGAAACAATCAAGATATCAATAATTATTTATTTGCCTTATCTAAATTCCTTTATTTTTCATTAAAAGATTTCTTAAAGTTGCTTTCTTTAAAATGTTAAAATGTAATAAGAATTATTGTTGATTTGTTGACTATACGACTGCTATCTTGACAATGTGGCATTTTTGAAATGATAAATATTCTATCATGATTGTTAGCTATTATAATAGCAGATAAAAGCATAAGTCCATGCCGACAACGGATTGCTTTGATTATAAAAATTTATTAATTAATAATCAGTTTGAGACAATGTCACAATTTCACTTCTGCGACAAGGTAACGTATAGTAAAAGTCTATAAGTAGCTGCTGACTTAAACGCCCCTTTACTTAACGTTAAACACACACAGCAAAAGACTGTAAAGATGAAACTTTTATTAGCAAAGATTCATCTACAACTTTTTACCACACCACTCAACTCAAATGTTCCCATTTATATAGGAACCGTCTAATTTGTAAACAACAACAGTATTATTATTATACCTTACTAGGAGAAACGTCTCGAACTGAGATGTTCCTTCGTAGCTATTCTATCAGTAAATATTTTGAATCTCTTGCTCATACTTAATCTTAATCTAAGCTCGTAGATTGTCTAATTCAGCTATCATCAACTAGAACTTGAATCATCTTACTGCTATCTAACACACAATAGCAATCAATATCAAATATGTAATGAACTATTACAAACAACATCCACGTTCAGGCATTACTTATCTTACCTAGCACTACTAATATGGATATTCTCCATACTAGCTACTACTGTACTTATTAAACTATCCTAATGACAAGACAACACCGTAACAGACAATTTTATTTATTACGGATGGGTTGCAATCGTTACTTGATACTAATTGTGTTTCTAAGCAAGCTATTAATCGCCAAAGTGATAATTGTTTACTGGTTGAAATGAACATGAGAGACTCTTGTTCCCAATAATGAAAATCGTGAAAATACATGGCGGTAACCTTGCCGAAAATCTTTATGAGTGAATCCAAATAGAAATGGATTGATTGTTGTGTTGAAATAAATTCCCCAGTGAATTAAAATTTTATACGTTAATGGAGACGCAATAGGTTTACAATGGATAATAGCTAATAATGTAAAAGCTGAGGACGGAATCGTGCAAATTAAAAACGCTCCGATTAACAGTAAAGTTGTTCGTGTCGATTTTCTTAACCATTGCCTCCTTTCATTTAATGACGATTTTAAGAGAACAAACTTTCGATCTATATGTTGAGCTTCAACTAATATCACGATATATACTATAATAACTACCATTAATATAGCGATGACCATAATTGAAATAAAGATGGACATAACAATATTTTTAGGATGGTTAGTAATATCTAACCAACAACTAGATATATAATGGACGTATTCAAATTGGCCTAAACCTTGATCTTGTAATCCCGTTAGAGGCAATGCCGCAGATGATGATGCCATTATCGTAGTCACGATAAAAGCTTGAAAAACTCGTCTATTAGTGACATAAACTTGATAATGCAATGGTCTACGAATAGCAAAACATCGATCAAGAGCAATAACAGCAACCGTGATATAAGATAAGCCAATAAGAGTTGTGATAAGATATCCACGGATTATACAAGTAGTTTCAGAAATGATATATCCATCCAACCAGTGATACATCACAGAAGTTAAAATACCAACTATTCCCACAGCTAAATCTATCGATGCTAATCCAGCAAGAAGAATACCCGATGGATTGTGTAATGATCGAGTACGATAGACAACAAAAATTGCTAGCGAATTGCCGCCTATCGCTAAGACGGCTAGTGTAGATAGTATACTTAAAAGAATAGTTTTGATTACTGGCGATTCTTCTGCGCGATAGAAAGATATATTGAGGAAATAATCTCGAGGAGAGCAGTTAGGATACAATGCCATGATGAAAGGCCAGAAAAAAATCTCTTGCCTTTACTTTATGCGTACAAGGAATACTGATGAAATTAGTATTCGAATATACGATTAGTGTAATAGTAATGAACCAGAAACAGACTTGATATCTATGATAGGCTAATTGATAAAGTGAAAGAGATGCAGCTCCATCTTCCTTATTGAACTAGTTCATTTTTCTATTCCGGATATACCAGGTATTCAATAAATGATGGATGATAATAGAAGTTATACCAAAAATGAATTTAATGACAGCTTGATTTCCTTGGCTGATATGTCTTATTAATTCGGATTAGGTTACTGTTTAAGATTATATTGAAATTGGAATACTTTACAGCTATTACGGTACCAGTTATACTCTAGAATACGACGAGAATACTTTGAAGTGCATTTACCATTTAGATTTTTTCGACCCAGACTCTTATCGTTTTCTCTGTTGTGTAGTACTGATAAATACCTTTAGCACTATTTGACAAGAGCGTTGTGTTATGATCTTTAATCTTGCTAAAATCTGTAAGTGGTAAGTATTTATAGGAAATTTGCATCATGATAGACGGATAATAGATTTTTCGACCTATTTATAAATGAAATGAAATGCTTGTTTATATCTTTTATTCGATTTAATTGAAATTATACGGTATATCCATCATTATCACTGAATTGATTCGATTTCTTAACGTATCAAATCCCTTTCGCTGATAATCACTACACCAGACTGAATATCCGGGATTAATATAATACTCGCAATCATAAAGTAACTCTATACCTATTGGGCTCTAGACATCCGGTGAACTGTAAACTTTGAAGAAAATATCAATATCAATCAAATTAATCTTATTTTATTTTCTTTTTTGCTATTATCTTAGATAATAGAATAAATTTGGCGATAATTAATATTCTATCATGCCTTATAAAATTGTTTAGAAGTGAAACAGCATGTTTACCATGTATATATATTCCATGGCATTTTTTAATGATACACTATTCCTGGTCAATTTCAACCACAAATGAACGAGAAAGAAACGACAAAGTTGATTACTGTAATCTTAAAACCTTGCAAATGAAAATCGATAGACATACTGGTACTGACTATAATATTATGAAAGAAATAGGACAATAGTTATAGAAATGATTACGATCTGGAAAGATGATCATAGAATATAAAAGGAAGGAATAAAATATTCGCATTGTACTATAAATTTTAATAATTTGAAGTCATACCATTACGCATCCTTCTTTTCAGTAAATAATACATATTAAACTTATTAAAACTATTATTGAAAAATATTACTCCAATATTGTTTACGTCAAGAAATTTACAAAAAATTTTAAATCAGTCTATACTATTTTAGTAAGTGGAATAATTTGATCCTGACAAGGAGCTGCTGTAAAGGGTAGCTAGTGTGTGACTATTAATGAATATTAACGAGTAATTAGAATAAATTGAAGGTAATCACGACTGGAATAAACTATACTAATATAGTTTATATTGTTCTATGTGAGTAAATACTAGGATATATCGCTATGAGAGAGTAAATTATAACCGTAAGACTACACTTAAGACGAAATAGAAGTATTTCATTTTATGTTTAGCCTTATTCGCAGTCCATTTTGGAACATCATAATTAAATAACTTTTACAGTTTTATTTTGTAAGTAAAAAGGAATATCATTGATCTAATATAGAAAGGCTATTATAATGATGACGTCTCAAATAAGAAAGAAAACCAAAAGCCATGATACTTGACAATTATAATATCAGATACTCTTACAAAAGATAATCATGCTGAAAACTGATTGTTATGATTGTAGGCAAGCTGTGCAAGACAGTTTTGTTCATTAACAACGAGTTACTATCGTTAGCTTGATACTAATTGTATTTTTAAGAAAGTTATTAATCGCAAAATGATAATTGTTTACTGATTGAAATGAACATGAGAGACTCTTGTTCCCAATAATGAAAATCGTGAAAATACATGGCGGTAACCTTGCCGAAAATCTTTATGGGTGAATCCAAATAGAAATGGATTGATTGTCGTGTTGATATAAATTCCCCAGTGAATTAAAATTTTATACGTTAATGGAGACGCAATAGGTTTACAATGGATAATAGCTAATAGTGTAAAAGCTGAGGATGGGATAGTGCATATTAAAAACACTCCGATTAACAGTAAAGTTGTTCGTGTCGATTTTCTTAACCATTGCCTCTTTTCAGCAAACGACGATTTTAAGAGAACTAACTTTCGATCTATACGTTGAGCTTCAATTAGTATCACGATATAAGCTATAATAACTATCATTAATATACAGTTGACTGCTAGTGCAATAAAGAGAGAAAAAAGAAAATTTTTAGGATGGTTAGTAATATCTAACCAACAACCAGATATATAATGGACGTATTCAAATTGGCCTAAACCTTGATCTTGTAATCCCGCGAATGGCATAGCAGATAATATTCCTATTGATACTATATTCGTAATAAGAACTTGAAGTATTCGTTTATTAGTAACATAAAGTCGATAATGTAATGGCTTATGTATAGCAAAACATCGATCAAGAGCAATAAGAGCAACCGTGCTATAAGATGCGCCAATAAGAGTTGTGATAAGATATCCGCGGATTATGCAACTAGTCTCGGAAATGATATATCCGTCCAAGCAGTGATATATCACAGAAGTTAAAATACAAACTATTCCTACGGCTAAATCTATCGATGCTAATCCAGCAAGAAGAATACCTGATGGATCGTGTAATGATCGAGTACGATAGACGACAAGAATTGCTAGCGAATTACCGCCTATGGCTAAGACAGCTAGTGTAGATAGTATGCTTAAAAGAATATTTTTTGTTACTGGCGATTCTTCAGCGCGATAGAAGGATGTATTGAGGAAATAATCTTGAGGAGAGCAGTTAGGATACAATGCCATGACGAAAAATCAAAAAAGACGATATCTTTCGCTTTTATTCTACGTGTATAAAGTATTACTGATGAAATTAGTATTCAATTCTGCGATTACTTAATAGTAGTTAATTAAAAGCAGATTATACATCAATGATAGTTTAAAGTATAAAATGAAAGAGGGAGAGCTCAATTTTTTCTTGTTAAATTGTCTTCTTGAACCGAATTAATATTCATATTTCGAATTCAGCAATTGTTCAGTAATTGTTGAAAAAATCGAGTTGATATAAGTAATAGCCTTTACCATCAAGCAAGTTTAATTTCTTTGGTTAAAATCTTCTTTCGAGCTCGGTTCCTTCACTATTTGAGAAATGTTAGAATGGAAATTTATAGGACGGTTGTAAGGATAGCGTGGATAGATACTATTTAAATTATCATATAATTTCGAAATTTTCCTGTTTTAAAACGAACAGGTTTTTAGCTTAGTTTCTCACATATAATTCTTTTCGGAGCTGTTTACGAAAGTTATTGCTTCATGTCTTTTACTCTTGCTCTGAAATCATTCACTGATATATTTATAATGCTAAAATTGTATCATAGAAGCAAACGATGAACAATTGATTCTGTTATCGAGTTGCAAAGGAAAGAAAAGGCATAGTTTTAATTTTAATTTTATTTAATTTTAAATGAAATTGTATTCAGACGTTGTTCTTTATAAAATTAAATTTCCTATTCGCCGCTGCTATTGTCAATTACAAATCTAATTATGCATGTTGACTACAATAACCAGGTTACTGAAGAGATGACAATTTTACCTGAATTACTAACATGTCTTATAATAATGCATTGCCTCAATAATTAAGATAAAATGAAACAATTAATTAATTCATAAAGGGTTCAAGATCATATTGGATATATGTAAAGGGATATATGTTAATCAAGTAAGTTAGTTATTTTGCCACTGATTTAATTGCAATAATAACTGCTTTTATTTAGTTTACTAACATATTTATACGTGGAAAGCTAGAAAAAGCGTCAGCAAAGATTTATGAGTATATCACGGTAAATTTGTAAATTAATGGCGAATAGAATGATGCAGATTACTAATACGGTAGCACTCATGTGTAGGTAGATTTCAATTCTGATTATTGAGTTCATACATTATTTCTATGGACTAATCGAAATTCTGTAGCGTGCTATGAAGTTATATTAGTGCTGAAGTGATCGTATCTATTACGCTGCATAAAAATTTCCTCAAGAAAATTTCACTCACTACTTTATGAAGCTAAGACTTAATGATTGTAACATCTTCATCAAGGCTATAGAACCAATCTGTTATGGTACATTATTCCTATGAAAATGGATAAAAATAGATAACTATTTTTGATGTATTTACAGGGAGCGGAATCAACATGAATGTAATTCCATGGTAACGATTTATTAATTTTGTCATATAAAATGAACAGCTGGTATTTCTGCTGCGATACATGCGTAAATCTTATACTTGCATGATTTATGAATCGTTTCATACTCTTAAAACATTTAAAGACTATTACTAAGACCCAGGATTGCCTATTCTACCCTAATCTAAAAGAAGAAGATGACCTTTATTTTTCTATAGTTCTATCTCTTTGCGCTTTACTGGCTCCATGAAAAATACCAGGCTATGGAAATGCTTTATTTCACTAATTTTGGTTATTTTACGAAATGATAGCAATAGTAAATGTCTGCAAGTTTCATCGTTAGAGCAAATAAGATTAAGTGGTAAAAGTTTTGAAGTTTATGTATATATATATATGCTATATAAGATTGACAGGAAGAGTATTTGTAATGTTGTATATTCAATTGCTTCAGCAGCGATAATGAGTTTAATACTCTATCATGATCCTGCCTGCTTATATCGCATATTTATTATTATAGCGATGTTCTAAATACTATTGTATTCTGTAGTCAGTATCAGACTTGTTTTTATGGTACACACGCATCATTATTTACAGTAAGTAGACCTGTGATATATACCGATCACGAAATTCCAAATTTTAGAAAAATAAGGGCTTTATTGAATCTTATACAAAGATTAACTACACACAGCTCTACTCTAGCCGAATACTACTACTAAAGACTTATAGAACGAACTAACAGAATAATCTAAAGTTGCATGCTTTTATACTTTTCGTAGCATTCGCAGCTACAATCCGCATGGCAACCTTTTACCTTATTTTACACATAGTTAAATTCTTAGTAACACTACTCTACTGTGGACTATCATTAATCCGATATAAGTACGACTACAGTATTTACGTAGACATTATTCACATCAGCCAAAGTACAATGAATTAACCATATCCTAATATATAATTTACAGTTTTATTTTTACCTATAACCTTATTAGTAACTCAACAGCTTACTGTATATAGTCATCTGTACTCTAGCATAGAGTCTATACCACTACAGTCTATAGTTATAGCTACCAAATATCTCTTAGGATAAATATCTACCGTGCATTATACTAAACATGGCTAACAGTCTACAATCACAATGCTAGTTACATTACAAGATGTTATATAAATGTGATCCATTCGTAGCATTTAGAGGCTAAGACCACATAAATGGGAAGGAATATTGGGAATGAACGAGATTATGCTTAGCCCTACCAGACTTCTGAGCTTATTAGAGTTCAGCATTATTATTAGCTGCGAATAGTATGAATAAATTAAATACAAGATAAATAAGAATGATAGAATATATTTAATGTCTAATTTACTTATGAAAAGAATAGCCGGAAAAACTACTTTAATTTTTTAGTAGTCGAAATACTGAACATAGGCCCTCAAGCATAAATGATCGTAACTAATTGTTTATAACATATAATAATCAAACACTTAGACATGATTGAAATCATTATATTTCTTCTCTTCATTAAATTATAATTAGATAAAAATTGCGAAAAATCCTTAGAAGCTAATATAGTTATTTCGATTAATTACAGTGAAAATGTGCTATGAAGTCGAGATAGAATCACGAAGTAAATCGATATATAACCATGATATAACGTAAAAAACTTGCTTGTGCTTGATGAAGTAATTGTTATTGATGAAGCAGTATAATGTTACTATTTGTAGCATGTAAGATTGATCGCAAAAGATTATAAAACCCATTTATTACCGATATTTTACGATTTCTTTATCATGCAAATATGTTTTGTAATTATGGTTTTAATTAAAGCACGATGCTGTGCAAATTGCATTTATATTAATTGATTACCTGATATCTTACCAATCGGTTGGAATTATTCTTTATGAGCAGATGAAAGTTAATTTGACTTCATTCCAATGTAACATACTGCGACGGAGCTCGCTCCGAAATGAATAATATTTTGATCTAATATGTGTAATAATGTTATTATGGAGGTTACCGATCTCGATAACAACCTAGTTGCTAATTGAGTTTTGTTATTAATTATCGTAGTAATATACAGCGTGGATATGGTGTTAGCAATTAAAATGTCAAACTGTGAAGATTATTATGTTAGTTAATAAGGTGCTAATTAATAATATTAATTTGTGGCAAGTAATAAGTAACAATCGATCTAGTCGAATCTATAGTAAGCCTGTATTGCACATTCTATAATATAGTGTGAAAGATTAGCACCGATCTTATTTGTGTGACATATGAAACTGTATATAAGCTTGATTATTACTTTTTAATCTCAGTTCCACCGAGGTTAACGTAGGATACACTGGTACAAACGTAAGCAAGCTAGTAATAAAGATATTGATTAACCTAAACCTATCGTTTTGACTTGATTACTATAGTATAGGAATAAGTTAGTTTTCCCTTACTGAGGATCTCCGGAGTTAGTCGGAGAACCATAAGAGTAGATAGACTAGTTTAGGTACGTTCACGAAAGCTATTTTGTGACACATACCTAATGACTCTTTGTTGATTATTAAGAAATTGATTTAGTCAGCTATTACATCTGCAATGTTAAATAGCATAATTAAAATCAATATTTTAATATGTACCAATTGAATATTTTCCAATTGAATAATAGTGGTTAGTTACTATCTGCGATAAATTTTAGTAAAATCGGATGGTGGCCATTATTCGAGGGTGAAGTTTCTTGCGATAATTTCGTAAGAATAAGCAAATATTTGTAAAAATTATTATAATTCTGCTTAATTTATTTATTTATTAGCGGATGATTACCCATTTAATAATTGCTACTAACAATTGAATGCGATGTTACTATTTATAATTTAATGCCATAAGTGGAGAAACGGTACAGGTAAGAAATTGTAAATTTTAAAATCAGTGCAATCATAGAGATTTCAGGAAACAAGACGCTGTTAAATCTAAAGTGTTTTGCGCGCTTTATTTTTGTCACCAAACCTTGGTTGCGCAGTTATACTGTAGTTCAAGATTCTACTTTGTTCGATACTATCTTATCGTTACCTAGGAAGTGATTTTACTGTCTCAATATATACTATGCGACAAGGAAACCTAAAGTTGAAGTCTATAAGTAACTACTGACTTAAACGCTCTTTACTAAATGTTACAAACACACAAGAAAATATCGTAAACTTTTATTAGCATTAAGACATCTACAATTTTTTAAAACACTCTCTACTCAACTCAAAACTATCCGCTTATACAGGGACCATCTAATTTGTAAAAAAAATTGATGTTATTATACCTTACAGGGAGAGACATCTCGAACCGAGATATTCCTTACATAGTTTTTCTATGAGTAAATATTTTTAACCCATTACACATACTTAATCTTAATCTGAGCATATATATTGTCTAGTTCAACTATCATTAGCTGGATCTTGAATCATCTTACTACAATCTAGGCATAATAATAATCGATATCAAATATGTAATAACTATCACAAATAACATCCGCGTTAAAGCATCACTTATGTTCTCTAGCGCTACAAATATGGATAGTTTCCACATTAACTGCTACTGTACTATTAAACTATTCTAAGGGTAAGGTAACACCGTCACAGTTACACTTACAAA